CTCCCCCCCCCCCCCCCCCCGAAGTGAATGTTCTAGGAACCCGTGGGCATCACTGTACCAGCTAGCATTGTTGTGAGAGGCTGTGTTCACAACAATGAAATATTCAGTGAATTTTTTTTTTGGAGATTCTTTCAACGAACTTGTCCATTTTATGGTGGTTGATTTAGCATGTTGATTGCTCAGCAGTTTTTGAATGATATGACCCCATGCCCCGCCCTCCTTATTAACCCAGTCTTACTATGAATGGCTTTTTTTTGTTTGTTTCCCTGAATGAAAAAAGTCGTCAGAGGGAAACGTTTTCCAGGTATGGAAGAGGTGAAATAAAAAACAGCAAGAAGCACTAAAAGATACCAAAAATGACGAATTCAAAAACTGTTTTGAGCAGTGAGAAAAGTGTCTCGATAGGTGTATTGCTTCAGTGAGAGTACATTGAATGTGACTGAAGTGGTAAACATGTAAGAATAACTACATATTGTTTTATAAATAAATTCTGGTGTTTTTTTGGGGGGGCCCTCTCTTTTGTGTGTCTGTATATCTTTAAAACTGATAGTGTTAGGTAGGGCTTGGTGGCTCAGCCTATAATCCCAGCACTTTGGGAGACAGAGGCTAGTGGATTACCTGAGCCCACTGGTTTGAGACCAGCCAGGACAACTTGGTGAGACCTCATCTCTGCAATAAATAAAAAATTAGCCAGGCGTAGTAGCTCATGCCTGTAGTTCTGGCTACTTGGAAGTCTGAGGTGGAAGGATCACTGGAGCCTAGCAAGTCGACGCTGGGGTGACCATGAGTGTGCCACTGTACTCCAGACTGGGTGATGGAGTAAGACTCCAACTTTAAAAAAAAAAAAAAAGATTGTTTTAGAGCCGTTTAAAATTAATTTTGGAAAACTTAGAAATATGTGGTTATTGCTTCCTATAGGGACATATTTTTATCTTCTGCCTCCAAATTAATAGGTATTCATTTTACTGTCTGAATTAATCTGCATAATCTGTCTTTAGGCTTTTCTTAAGCCAAGAGCAAAATGGCCATCAACCCCTCAACCTCCATCCCTGCTTTATAAAAAATGAGGCTATACTGGTTTGAGGCAGGACTGGATCAGCCTTTTGGGTTGTTTTGTAATTTTATGTTGTTTGGGTGCAGAACCGTAGCTTAAAAGCTTTGTAACTGGGGCACATGGCACAGTACACATGATAAACACTTAACAAATGTGTGAAGTGAATCAGGCAGTCAAATTGAGGCGAAGCAGGATTGCTGAAGTCATACACAGGGTATAGTGTCAGATATAGAGATTTTTGCAGTTGGCCTAGTAAAAGGAACTTAAGGATTGAGAGTGGTTTGGAGATGACTGAAAAATTCAGGTATTTTCAGTTATGCAGTAAGAATACACTGTAAGAATATAATTGTATACTTATTTCATAGATTGAAACTTTCAAAACACTTTTTTGATCGAAATCATACATGTTTATTGTAGAAACTTTGTGAACTATGGTAAGAAATGAAGAAGAAAATATGACCTTTTTTAAAGTCTGCCATCTGTAGCAAGGCACTATCAGATGTTTGGTATGTTTATGCATAGAGACGTCAACATATGAATAATTGAGGATATGTACATTCAATTTTGAATTCTTTTTTTGTTCTTGTGAATCCAATTAAAATTTCTCACTTTAATTTTAAACCTTACAGGCCCTTTCACAGATGTAGTCACTACAAATCTTAAATTGCGAAATCCATCGGATAGAAAAGTGTGTTTCAAAGTGAAGACTACAGCACCTCGTCGGTACTGTGTGAGACCCAACAGTGGAATTATTGACCCCGGGTCGACTGTGACTGTTTCAGGTAGCAAATCATGCCTTGAATTTATGTACATTTGAATTTTTACATTTTATGATTATGTGTAATTTGGATTAATTGATAGGGTTTTGTCTGGGGGGAGGGAAAGTATTCTGTTATTTTGGCTTTGCTTCTCAAGGTGTCCTTCTAATAGTGTACTGTATGCAAGCTGTTGCAGAAAATTTCTCACCCTCATCTTGTGTGGGAGGGTGTGGTTGATTGATAAGTTATTGCCAGTTTAAACCTTTATAGCTAGTCTCTGTTTCTATAGCTCACCACCATATTATCTGCCTTTATCATTTTGTCTTTGAAAAATTATACCATTTTTGTGACAGATAATTCTCATTCAGATCTTGCACATATTACATATAGCATGCGGCTATAGAAGTGTTATAATTCTTTTGCTTAAAAAAAGTACAATGCCTCTTTTTGGCCTATGGTATCAAGTCAGATGAGTCTTTCTTTATGCCTTTCATTGTTAATGCCAGTGTGTCCTGCATCTGAAAACTTTATTTTGTATTTCTTTATTCCCTTATGCATTGATTTGTAGTTGCAGAAGTATGCTTGGTTCTTGCCATATGTGGATTGCTTACTCTTGCTGTGGTGTCTATACTGTTAACCATAGTTGACATTCTCTATAAACTGTTATTCTCTTTCCTCAGTCCCTCAGGTTTTTTAAGACAGTACTTTTGATTTTGAGTTGGGATCTCACTCTGTTACTCAGGCTGGAGTGCAGTGGCACAATCATGGCTCATCGCAGCCTCGACTTCCTAGGCGCAAGTGATTCTCTTGCCTCAGCCTGGCTAATTTTTTATTTTTAAATTTTTTTGTAGAGATGAGGTCTTACTATGTTGGCTAGGCTAATCTGGAACTCCTGGCCTCAAGCAGTTCTATCTCTGCTTCCCAAAGTGCAGGGATTATATAGCACCGTGCCTATCATAAGATTTTCTTATATAAGTATTTCTCTTATTTGCTTATTTGTATTTGTTTTCTTGAGACTATTGACATATATCTTAAGAAATAATCTAAATATTAGTAAGGAAATATTTTCTACAATCCACACATGTTTTGTATAATTGTTGATTCATTATTCTTTATAGTCTCTTATATTTAGAATTTATGTTACATGTATTTACTACAATCAAATGGAGCCTTACAAAAGTTTTAAAAAGCTAAAAATTATAATGCTTAAAAAAATAGTTGAATTTTATTATTTGGACTGCAAAATAAATTCCAGAAATTAAGAGACTATATGGTTTTCTTGTATACTTTGTTTTCTTAGAAGATTTAAATAAATGGATAACTTTTCTTGAAAGGTATTTATTTTAAAATTCGTGTTTGAAAAATTAATTATATTTTAAAAAATGAATATATGGCAGTTTTTAAGTTGCTGAGTATTTCTCCTTTAAATACCCTAGTTGTCTATTTTATCACAAAATATTAAAATGATACTAGGTTCATATTATAACTAGTTTTTTGCTTTATTTTGTTTTTTTTTTTTTTTTGAGTTGGTGTCTCACTCCGTTGCCCAGACTGAGTGGAGTGGCACACTCCCAGCCACTGCAGCCTTGCCTTGCTGGGCTCTGGCGATCCTTCAGCCTTCTAGGTAGCCAGAACTACAGGCGTGCGCTACCATGCCCGGCTTATTTTTGATTTATTGTAGAGACAAGGTCTTGCCAAGTTGCCTGGGTGGGTGTCGGACCTGCGGGCTCAGGCAGTCTACTCACCTTGACCTCCCAAAGTGCTGGGATTACAAGCTGAGCCACTGAACCTGGCCTATAACTGGTTTTAATAACTTAGTAGATATAATATGAGCTTATAGGCATTATAGTGGTTAATATTGACAACAATTTGAAAATGTTCTCAAACCCAGTTTAGAGAGACAGTCATAGATTCATATTTATTTCTTAAATAGCCATTTGTTATTTTATTCACAAAGACTTAGTAAGATCAGAAAGGTGGACACTTTAGAAATAATTGGAATCCACAAAGTTGATTTTGGATTCTTGGTGTAAACAGTCCAGTGTTTGGTTTCTTGAGCCCTTCTTGATTTTCTTAAAATTTGCATGTTTGTGAATGAAGTAATAGGAGTGATACACAGACAAGTACAGAAGACAATATCATGTATTTTTTCTTTTTATTTAGTAATGCTACAACCCTTTGACTATGATCCAAATGAAAAGAGTAAACACAAGTTTATGGTACAGACAATTTTTGCCCCACCAAACACTTCAGACATGGAAGCTGTGGTAAGTATAGAAGAAGTTGAACAGAATTTATTTTGGGGAATGTAGTTTATACTGTGGGTATTGATTAGCACTCAATAGAAAAATGTTTTTTTTTAATTAAAAATTTAATTTAGATTTTAAAAGAATCTATAAATTTGCTTGTTATAGATAGTCCTGACTTAATTGCAAGAATTTTGAAATAATAGTTTTTGAAATAATAATAGTTTTGGAAATGCTACTATTAAGAAAGTCCTTCTATCATCACTATTGATATCCCTAGTGTGTTTTTAATGAGTGGTGATAGTAGCTCTAGGATTAACTGAAGGATCTGTGATATTAGCAGACATTAATGTTAGGGTGATCACAACAGAGTATAGCTGGAATAGCTGAGCCAAGCAGCTACTACCCGTCTTTTAGTTGTTCTTTGTGGTGAGACTTACTTACTGTGAACATACTTGTTTGGTTTCATTTATTTTTAGTGGAAAGAGGCAAAGCCTGATGAATTAATGGATTCCAAATTGAGATGTGTATTTGAAATGCCCAATGAAAATGATAAATTGGTAAGTAGGAAAATGTAAGAACATTGGAAGCTATGAAGCTTTCAGTTACATGCATTAATTTTGCTTCTATTTTGTCCCTTGGGGTATGGTGTGATGGCTGTTTCACTTGACAAGACTCAGTTCTTACTAAGTTAAAAAAAAAAGCAACTTGATAAGCATTTTTCATTTTATAACATTTTGTTCATCCAGGTAGAAAGAAATACTCACTATTAGGTTCAAGCTGCATGCTGGAGAAGAATTATTTAGTTCTACCAAATCTTTGCCACTTAAACCACTTCAGGTTCCTTTTTAGAACCAGATATATGTACATAAATACACTATATACGAGCACTCTGGGGATGAAAAAGTGTAATTTATAAGGACAGTTTATTCCAGATTTAGCTGTTCTCAGGCATCTTACTCACTTTTGTTTTTCGTCAAAACCCATCTGATTTTATTCTTTAATACATGATTTTTATGTTACTTATTGAGTAATGTGAGGGAAATGCAATTTGGGGTACTTGGTGATATATGTACGTAGTTACAAAAATTGGTGGTCTGTGAATGTTAGAACGTGTTGTGGCCACTCCTCTCTGGAGTACAAATTTGAGTCTTTTTCTATGGTTTGTAAGAGGAACTTGAAAGATAAGTTTGTGTGTGTGTGTGTGTGTGTGTGTGTGTGTTTGTGTGTGTGTGTGTGTGTGTGTGTGTGAGTGATTTAATATATACAGTAACATGCACTCCTTAATCTGGAGGCCATATGTCCTATTGAAAAGTAAGAGTGCAGATTAAATAAATGGGTTCAGTTATGTGTTACTTTTTCAGGATAAGCTGAAATGAAACAGTCACTGAATGGTAATTAGATATTGGCCAAATTATTTATTGAATTATAAAAATGTCCTTTTTAAGGGATTTTGAGGTATTTGCCAAAAGCAAGAAATGTGAATGCCTACATTCTTACTGTAAGAGTTAGATGGCAAATTTATGGTTCCCATTTGGAGTTTTTCTTTCTTTTTTCCTAGGGTACTGGGGAGCTAATAGCTTGCATAGCTCTTATTATTGGAACCAAGAAAATATAACAGCACATTGTCTGAATTGGCTTTTTAAAAATTTTATAAAATACATTTGGTTGTTTTCTCGTTTTGAGTTTTATGTCATCTTTTACAATTATAAACATAGTTAGATCTGACTGTCTTTCATCTGGCTTCTATTACGCTCTGGATAGCAGACAATATGAGATTGTAGTCTGCAAAGGGCTGGAATGCAGGTATTTGATATTGCTGATTAAGAATAGCTCTCACTGCTTTAGAAACCAAACCAAAAGATATGACTGTGACAGTTGAGCCATCATTTACCATGTCTTGGAGGAGGGTAGGAAGTGTGCTTGGCTATCTGTTGATATAGTTTACAGTAATCCAAGAAAGCAGATTTGGATCTGCTTTAGCTTTTGGACATGTACTAAATGAAGTTCCCAGAGTCTCCAACACAGAGCTGGAGCAGAAGTAGTTTGGGCCTGGACCCTTTTCAACAGGTATTATTAGTAACACAAAGACTGTTTAGTAATGTAAAAGTACTCTGGAGAATCTGATTCTGAGCCTTGATGAGCTAGCGGCAGATGCAGACTGTATTTTCACAAGCTGAACTATTTGGGCTTATATATCAAATTGTGGGGGAATATTTGCTAAAGATAATGATTTTTCAAGAAACATTTCATTTTGAGAAGCTTTAAGCATCTAAACTCACTACTTCCCATCTACATGTTGTTTAAGGAAAACCCCAGACCTCATATAATTCCATCTGTAACTATTTCAGTGTATATCTTTTTTTGGAGTTGGAGTTTCACTGCCGCCCAGACTGGAGTGCAGTGGCACGCTCACAGTCACCGCAGCCTCGACCTACTGGGCTCGGGTGATCCTTCCGCCTCAGCTTTCCAAGTAGCTGGAACCACAGGCACGCGCTACCACTCCCAGCTAATTTTTTGATTTATTGAAGAGATGAGGTCTTGCCAAGTTGCCCAGGCTGGTCTCAAACCGTGGACTCAGGAAATCCTCTCACCTTGGCCTTCCAAAGTGCTGGGATTATAGGTGTGAGCCACCACACCCGGCCTTCAGTGTATGTTTTTAAAGTAACTTTTTTTTTTTGTTTTTGGAGATAGGGTCTTACTCTGTCACCCAGGCTGGAGTACAGTGGCACAAAAATAGTTCACTACAGCCTTGAACTCCTGGGCTCTAGTGGTCCTCCCGCCTCAACATTCTGAGTAGGACTATGGGCACGCACTCCCAGGCCCAACTAATTTTTCAAATCTTTTTGTAGAGAACGAGTGTCTTCCTGTGTTGACTAGGTTGGTCTCAAACTCCTGGCCTCAAGTGATCTTCCTCCTTGGCCTTCTGAAGTGTTGGTATTACAGGTGTGAGCTACTGTGCCTAGCCTCAGAGTACTTTTAAAAAAGGGATAAAAGAGTTTTAATGACAATACCATTATTATGCCTTTAAAAACTTAATATATCATTAATGTGAAACCATCCAGGTAGCATTCAAATTTGTCTCACACAAATGTCGTTTAAATTTCTTTTTGCGGTTTGTGTGTTTGAATTTGGTCAATATAAAGTTCAAATACTGCTGTTAGATAATGTGTTTCTTAAATCTCTTAGTCTGTAGGTTTCCACTTTGTTTTTTTCTAGTAAATTGTTAAAGAAACTAGTTTTGCCTATAGAGTCTCTCACATCGACTAGATCTTGCTGATCCTTGAAGGTGTCATTTAACTTTTTTTCTGTCTTTGGTATTTCCTGTAACTTGGTATTTCCTCATCTAAATGAGTGTTTCTTATCCAGGAGCAGTCAATATGCTCCTCTAGGTGCAATATCTGGAGACATTTCTGGTGTTTACAACTGAGAGGTGGGGAGGGGTACTGTCTGACTTACAGGTATCTACATAGTGGGTGGAGGCCAGGGATTCTGCTTAACTTCCTACAATGCACAGATTGGCCCTCACAACAAAGAATTTTCTGGTCTGAAATGTCAGTAAAGTTGAGATTTAGAAAATATGGCCTAAATTCATTAATTTATTTAAGTTTACATGATGGTGGTACTCTCTCATTTCTACTTTTGCTTAGAATACTTCTGTAAAGAGAAACTTGTGCTCACTAATATTTGATTATTCAGTGGTAGAGTTTTTAAAGGCAGAATAAGTCCCCAGGTTTGTCTTTAGTTACAGGTTTTTAAAAAATGAGATGGTTCACCATCATCCCTCTGGTGATGTATTATCTGACTCCGTCTCCTTTTTTCTTTTCTCCTATATTTTCTATGTTGTTAAAACTCATAGATTACTGGGTTTTACCTCCTTGCGGTTAATTATCATTATTGATGCTCAAATGGCCTGCTGAGGAGTCTTTTCAAATTGGATCTTATTTGACTGTTGTATATAGTCTCTGGTAATTTTCTTGATGTCTAATAAGGCAAGATTTTTCCAAGCCCAGGCCTGGACTCATCCATTTCTTCAAGAAGCTCTAGGCCATTTCAGTGGGAGATGGTATTTCAGGACCACAGTCTGGGTCCTGGGACAAGATTTATTTTTAATTTTGTCATGATTTCTATCAAACCATTCTTTTGACCAAGATTAGAGTGGAAGCCTGTTTGTCATTTGAAGGTACTTCTTCAAGTGGTTAAATTTTAATGCTAAAATTATGTCAGCAGCATATAGGATGACATTAATCCTTTGTATTTTCTGGTTGGGATATGTTCTTGAAGATCTTGAATAATTCAAAATGTGCAAAAACCAACAATGATCCTGAGAAGAACGGGCAGGTCCTTCTAAGAACCTCCTTGAGTGATATTTCAATATAGCAATAAGTAAATATGACTGTGACTTTAATGGCTCCCTAGCCTTGCTGCTACTTGATGGGCATTTTTAAGTGTAGAATTCACATTTCAAGTTTTAATAAAATAAGACTTGAAAATATTTTCATAGCCCCCTCCCTAATCTTGGGGAGGTGGACCCCCCCCTTCAATCTACTTTCTAAATAAACTATTTTTCCTGATTAAAAAAAAAATTTCATATATCACCATTTTAAATGTATATAATTCAAATATGCAAAAATTGTATATATACTATATACAGGCTAGAGGCAGCCTTAATTGGCTAATGTGTATGTTGAAAAAGAAGAGAGGCTAAAACAAAGTTTTTTTTTTTTTTTAAATTTAAAAATTTTTTTGCGTTGGAGTCTCACTCTGTTGCCCAGGCTGGAGTGTAGTCACACACATACAGCCACTGTAGCCTAGTCACACACATACAGCCACTGTAGCCTCAACCTGCTGGGCTTAGGCGATCCTTCTGCCTCAGCCTTCCAAGTAGCTGTTACCTCAGATGCATGCCACCAGGTCTGGCTAATTGTTTGATTTATTTTAGAGACGAAGTCTCACCAAGTTGCCCAGGCTAGTCTTGAACCTGTGGGCTCAAGCAGTCTTCTCACCTCCACCTCCCAAAGAGCTGGGATTACAGGTGTGAACCACTGAGCCTGGCTAGTTGTGTTTTTATAAGGCAATATTTCCCAGTGTATTAGGTTGGAAAAGTTCTGTGATGAAGTAAACTTGGAAAAATACAGTATTGCCAATACTGGGTTTCCCAAAAGGAATCACATTGCGTGCTTGTATATTAAAGGCTCTGAGAAGACTTGGAGTAAAGAAATATGTTTAACCTGGTATTTCTTTTCTATTTAATGAAGTCTAATTAACTTCTCATGAAATAATATGGTGTTCTAAAAAATATATTTTTGGAAATACTATTGCTGCTTAAACTCATTCTTGTAGTATTACTAATCAGCAGATTCTACAAGAACTGTTACTTGCTGAGAAATGTGTTTAAATTCAGTGCATACTGACACAGACCCAGTTCTATGTGGGTTGCTGGCTGATTAGTCATTGGTTTAATGTTGCATCTCATTGTTTAAGGAAAATATGAAACCTCAAAGTACCAAATGTGAAGTCTTTATGGTAGTACAAAATGTATAAGAAACTTGTACTAATTTGTTTATAATAACAAGGATAAAAAGGCTTTTATATTTATATCCAAAAATACATACTAAATGCCTCTTTCTCGAGAATTCATTTATGTAAGACCCTGTTGATAATTGTATCTTTGCTGTTTCCAGGTTAGTATTGTCTATAGGTAAAGTTGATAAAAGTGTTTAAAATTTAAGCCTCTTTGACCTATTGACTTCTTTCTAGTACCCATAGATAAAATTAATTAACATCCCCTTTCTTTGTGTTTATCTTAGGTTTAGCATGAAATTTGTCTCTTTTGAAATTAGGACATTGTTGGATAGTGTGATGCCTAGATACAGTTTGTTAGTTTGTTTCATATGAATTGATTAAATGCTATATACGAGGCTGGATTCTGACTTAGACAAACTGATTAAAGATGACATTCCCTCATTCAAAGAATATACAATTCTAAATGTGCAAGTTTAGCAAAAATGTTTTGAAAACTATGTTGGTAATGTATGTTTTTAAAGGTAAAGAGTGCAAAATATATTTTCCAATTTATAGCTATGATTATGGTATAGAAAATTCCTTGAGATCTTCTGACTTATTCTTTATTTTATTTTTTAGTATGTTGTAAGAAATATGCTAACAAAAGCAAAATTCAGTTTAGTTTTTAACTAAGTTGCTGATGACAGGCTAAGGTATACCTTACATACAACTCTCTGGATGACAAAGTACTTTGTATTCAGCTTTAGTGTTTAGAGCAATAGAAAAGTCCATATTGAGTTATTGGTCTCTTACACATTTTTGTTTCAACATAAGTATACATTATGAAATGATGATCACAACCAAACGAATTAACATAACACTTCAGATAAGCACATTTGCTTTAGGGGTCATAATTGCTTTAAAAAGTTGATTGTCATAATTTATGATTTTTGGTAGTGAACTTAGATCATAATTTGGTTAGTTTTCAAAGCAGGTAGATTCTAAAAATATAGTTTTGTTATTTTTGATGTTTTATGATCAATTCCATTCGTTGTGTTTGATTCTAAGAAATGTTTGAGGCCTTTACTTGACATTCTAAATTTCTTGAATGCATTGCATTTCATTTATATCCTCCATCTATTATCTGATAGCAAGCATATTTTCTAGAAAAAAAATACCAATTTATTTTTAAAATTTTTTATTATGAAGGCATGGGCTACAGTTCAGGGTTAGGTATACAAATGTTGTTTATGCAGGTACCCTTATTGGTGAGGTGTGCCCCCTTCCCCTGGCAGATTCCCACTACTACCAATCCTGCCTCCCTCCCTCCCCCACCAGTTTCCCGCTACTGCTAACACTTAAAGTTTTATGATAATTGTTCAAGGCCTGCTTATGAGTGAGAACATGTGATGCTTAGTTCTTTGTTTCTGTGATAGATCACTTACTGATTTATTTTAATGAGGTGCTGTAAAGAACAGGGATTTCAGAGGTCTTATAAAGACATTTTGTGGTTAAATATACATTTTCTGTTGAGACAGAACGGATGGGATATCAGTAAGTACTATTGTAGAGTCTCTTCCTCACCTGTTTGTATACTACAGTATTATTTTTATCTCTTAGAGGAATTTTAGAAGTTAGGAAGAGAATTATGGAGTTAATGGTATACTAACCAGAATGCTATATAAATATCCTTTAAGTTTGATTATTTGTGTGTGTGTGTGTGTGTGTGTGTGTGTGTGTGTACACACATATGTATGTGTATACTGGAGGGACTTTGAGTACAAGAGAGATGTATTAAAAAAAAAATTCAGGTTGAATGTTATAAAAGTTAAGAACACGAAAGTACTTGTTTTCCAGTATTGGCAAGTAATAGTAAAATAATTAAGCACAACAAAGAAAAGGTATTCATTTTAGGATAGCAAGGCTAGCATAAGTTTAATAACGTGTATACATTTAGTAAATAAAACTGTGCAAGTAGATCACAGCTAATTTTATTGGGGAGGTAATGTAAAAAGCTAGTTCAGAAACGTTAACATAGTTATTATTAATTAGAATTGTTTCTTAGGCATAATACAGTTTTGTAGATTAAAATGCAAACGTTTTAAAGCCTAATGCTTTCTGTGTCAGTCATTTCCAATATCATGCAGGAGATATCAGAGTTTGGTGCGAATCTGAGAATGTGTTTCCCATGCCATCTCAGGGTATAACTCCACCAGGGACTGCTCCGACTGTCACTGCAATGAGCAGCTTCAACAACACAGTTTCAACACCTGCCAGTTATCACAGGAAGAATGATCCCAGGGGACTCAATGTGTTCAAACAGGAGAAACAGAAGGTTTGTTATAGGGAGCTAAAAGACTTAGGAATCTGTTAGTGTTGATGATTAAGTTAATGTGGATACCTAGCAGTTAAGTGGTACTGTGCGTTATATGAAATAGATAGAATTGAAATATGCTTAGAATTACAGTAGAACCACAAAGCACTTAAAAAGCATGTACACAGACTCTTCTGTTCTAAAAAAAATTCAGAACTGAATGCAATGTCAGTGAGCAAGGTAAATATAAATGTGGACATTATAATATTGGTGTACTTCTTTCTGTCCTTTGGGGAGCCTACTTTCAGAAGGGAGTTTGTAGCTTGCTTGAGTAAGATAGCAGTGATAGCAGTAAAGGTAGAGTTGGCAAACATTGCTCTTCAGGCAAGTATTTGTGTTTATAAAAAAAGAGTAAATTAAATTACGACATTATATTTTGTTGTTAGATACAAATATAGCACCTTCTCTGTAGCTGTCATTGTTGCTTATTTACAGTGCCCCAGGATAGGAGAATTTGTGGTTAAAGTTCTGAAGACTTTAGGCCATACTATTTTATTTATTTTTTTTTGAGTTGGAGTCTCACTCTGTCGCCCAGACTGGAGTGCAGTGGCCACTCCCGGCCACCGCAGCCTCGACCCGCTGGGTTCCGGCGATCCTTCCGCCTCAGCCTTCCAAGTAGCTGGAGTTACAGGCATGTGCTACCACGCCTGGCTGATTTTTTGATTTATTGTAGAGATGAGGTCTCGCTGCCCAGGCGAGTCTCGAACCCTCGGGCTCAGGTAATCCACTCACCTCAGCCTCCCAAAGGCGCGGGATTACAGGCTGAGCCACCGAGCCCGGCTTAGGCCATACTTATTAATGTTATTGCACATGCATGTGTATGGTGTGTGTGTGTGTGTATACACTTAACATTGACTCAGGTAAAATGATAGCACATCAGTAAGATAACAGTGACTTTTTGGTGGCGTAGTGGGTGTTTTATGATTTCCATTACCATTTCTTGCTTATTGGAAAGTTCAAAAACCCCTAAGTTTTTTTTTGTTTTTTTTGTTTTTTGGGGGTATAGTCTCATTCTCTAGCCCAGGCTGGAGTGCAGTGGCACACTCACGGCCACCCCAGTATTGACCTGCGGGGCTCTGGCGATCCTCCCACCTCAGCCTTCCAAGTAGCTGGAACTACAGGCGCATGCTACCACGCCTGGCTAATTTTTTTGATTTATTGTAGAGAGGAGGTCTCGCCAAGTTGCCCAGGCTGGTCTCGAACCCGTGGGCTCAGGCAGTCCACATGCCTCGGCCTCCCAAAATGCTGGGTTTACAGGTTGAGCCACTGAACCTGGCCGAACGCCTCAGTTTTAACATGTTGCTTATTCTTTGATTTTGCTTTGCAGAAAACATGCATACTAAGGCATTATAAAAATATTTTTTTAATCTAAATGTCTAATAGTTTTTGATTTGTGATTTCGAGTTATTTACTTCGAGGAATCATGACCCTAGGGAAAAAGTAAATTGGTGATTTAGAGTGGAAAAAAAATCATGAGGTGATTTGGTGATTAAGAGGCTGTCTCCCGATGTACAGGTTCAGACCACACTTCTGCCTCCTACAGTTTGTGCCATTACTCCTGGCTTAGCCTCTTGGCTCCCTTTGTGTACAGTGACATCCCTTACTCGTAGTAGTTGTAAGAATGTAGTTCCATATTTATGTCCTTCAGCTCCTTTGTTCTTCCCAAGGCTTCATTGCAAACTTTCCCTTCTATTTACAATCCCTAACTTCCTCTATTTTAAAATTACTGCAGCATTACTGTAATACTAGAATGGGAGTTCTAGTGGTTGTTGAAAAGGAATACGAAGTACAGTCACACATCTCTTAAGAACAGGGAATACACATACTGAGAAATGCATTGTCAGGTGATTTGGTCCTTGTGCAAACACCATGGAGTTTACTTAGACCTAGGTACTAGCCTACAACACACTAGGCTACATGGTGTATGGTATAGCCTATTGCTCCTAGGCTACAAACCTATATATCATGTTGCTGTACTGCATACTGTAGGCAGCTGTAACACAATGGTAAGTATTTGTGTATCTAAACATGTCCAAACATGGAAAAGGCACAACAAAACTAAGGCATTAGAGATTTAAAAAAAAAAAATGGTACTCCTGTATAGGGCACTTACCATGAATAGATTCCAGAACTGGAAGTTGCTCTGGGTGGGTCAGTGAGTAAGTGATGAGTGAATGTGAAGGCCTAGGACATCACTGTACCACGTTGTAGACTTAATAAACAGTATACACTCAGGCTACACTAGATATATAAAAAAGTTTTTCTTCAATAATAAATTAACCATAGCTTTCTGTAACTTATACTTTATAAGCTTGAACTTTTCAAAACACTTCTTGACTCCTGTAATACCACTTAAAAACACACATTGTATAGCTGTACAAGGTATTTTCTTTATATCCTTATTCTGTGAGCGTTTCTGTTTTTAAAATTATTTTTTAACCCTTTAAAGTTTTTTGTTAAAACAAAGTTACAAGCACACATTAGCCTAGACCTGTACAGGGGCAGGATCATTAATAGCACTGTCATCAACCTCCACATCTTGTCCCACTGAAGGGTCTTCAGGGGCCATGGCACGTCTGAGGCTGTTATATCTTATGATAGCACTTCCTTCTTCTGGCATACCTTCTAAAAGGACCTGCCTGAGGCTGTTTCACAGTTAACTTTTTATTATTAATATTTTTAATAGGTAAAGGAGTGCACTAAAATAATGATTCAAAGCATAGTATAGTAAACACAAACCAGTAGCAGTCGTTCATGATTTTATGTGCTGCACGTTTATGACTGGCAGCATAGTAATTTTGCTTATACTAGCATCAGCATGAACATGAGTAATGTGTTATGCTATGACGTCACTAGGTGATGGGAATTTTTGGCTCCATTATAATTGTAAGGGATCACCATTCTATGTGTAGTTTGTTGTCCAATATGTTGTTATATGGTGCGTGACTCATAGATGGAGAGGGATTACTATGGAGAGGCTAAATAATACAAGATAGTGGAAAACGTGTAAGATATATTGTCTTGTTTTAATTGATACACAGCCATGACCTTTTGACGTATCCTAAGTTGCACTGTTAAATACAATATTAATGTAATGTTACAATTTATCAGTTTACTAAGAGTCACAGCATGTTGAATCCCTCTAGTTTGTTCGTTTCATGGTTCTCAGAACAACTCTTTTCTTTCTGGATCAGTCTGAAGCAACTCTCAAGGAACAAGCTGTTTTCCTGGAGCCAAGCCTTACTAATGGAGCTCCTGAATGGAGACACACACTTGAAGTCACACCGGCTTAGTGTTTTCCATTAGACTCTTCAGATTGTCACTGTACAAATGACCCAACTCCTCCCATACTGGTTTTTAACCCCAACTAAGTTAGGCTATATATACTTATCCTTTAAATGTATGTAAATAAATGAGATGTTTTCTGCATTTGCTATGTATGTTGACTGACTTGTAGGGGGCCTAAATAGTACATGATATACCTGTATTCTGTGCTACTTGTTTCATGACTTATTTGGCTTATTTTTGAAGTTTAAGCTTCACTGTATTCTTTGCATTCTAGTCTTATGTTTATGCTCCATGAATAGGTTATGACATTTCTTCTTCTTTTTGTTATAAAAGCAGTATGACATCACTAGAAAAAATTTCAATGAAAAAGAAAAATTAATTCTACCACCATAAGAAAATATTATTGATACATTATTTAAAATCCTGAAGAATGGGAAGCTTCCCCTCAGATGTTTTAACAAAAGTGAGATGTTAAAGTAAATTTGGCAGGGCACAGAATAGAATATTTATTGACATAGTACATCATTTAAAATGATAGTTAAAAGACATACATATTAAGTGAATAAAGCAAGGTAAATATGCACATTTTTATAAAATGGGTATAAAATTGGCAGGCAATAGAAATAATAGTTGGGTTGATGAGATTATGGAGATTTTTTTTCTCTTATAATTTTGCATTTTCTGGAATTTCAAAAATTTATGTAAAGATAAAAATATGATTGTAAAGAGCTCGATGATTCTTTATTTTAGTTTTTTTTCTCTTCATTGCTGGCCCCGTGAATATCCTTTTAATTTTTTAGTCATCTTTCTGGTATGAGTGTGATATCTTTTCCCAGTTCTTAGGCATAAACTAAAGATTTTTTCCACTGCTGTATTGTTCACTGCCTTCTTTACAGAGGAAGGTATTGTGCCACCCTCCTTATCAGAAGTTGGACTTGTGCTAGGATGGAATTTGACCACACTTAGAATCATTTTGAAATGAATTTTAATTACTATTAAAGGAAAGAATTGGCAGAGGACAAAATCTAACTGAAACTGATTTTTTAAAATTATAAAAATGTGGGGTACAATTCAGGGGTAGGTATACAGATACTGATTTTGCAGGTACCCTTGTTGATGAGGTATGCCCCTCCCTCCCCTAGCAGTTTCCTTCACCTGCCAATCCCCCCCCCAATTTCCCATTATTGCCTAACGCTTTCTTATAATTGTTCAAAGTCCGCTTATGAGTGAGAACATATGGTACTCTGTTCTTTGTGAAACTGGTTTTTAATACTAGAGGTGGGATTGACTGGGGTGGGAGAGATTAGGGTGAAGAACAAGAAAGCTAGCAAGAGAAAAAGAGAAAGAATTGAAGTAGGCGTCTTAAAACTGTGAACTGTGAAGCCTGAAGAAAAATGGAAGAATCTGCCAACAGGTCAAATATGTAGTATTGTTCGTTAGAACCTCATTATATCTTTTACTTTTTAACAAATTCATTCATTTTTACATGGATTTAGGCATATTGATCAAGTCATATCCTCTTCATAAGAAATACAAGTTTTGCCCTTTGAGCAATTTATTTACACTTAATGTAAATTTGTCAATTGGGTTGTTGTGGTAGGTGGTTAGCCTCTAATAAATCTTATAGATAAGTATTGTGGAAACCATAAAGTTGGTTTTGTAAATATCCTTGTTAGCAGCTTATATCTGAGTTAAGCAGATTTTCCTTTATCTATTTTTTTTAACAAGCAAAAATATAATTAAAATGAAGATTTTTTTACGTTAATACTGTTAATGGTATGTGGTGTCATACATGTTAGGTTGAAGGATGTTGGGGCACTTGAGACCACAGGCTCTGTAATACTTAGGTACTGCCAGGGTTGCTTATTTCCAGGCCTGCACTAGCTCCAAATAGTTTCGTTGTTAAGGATTAAGATTTTGGGGCTTATAGTCTTAAAAGTAAGTTAAGTGGGCAACCCCCTGGGGTCCCTCCTACTGTGGGAGCTTTTCTGTCCCCTTAATAAATCCTGCTTTCTAAAAAAAAAAAAAAAAGCAGATGTTAAATACTCCTGTGATGTTGAGTCACATGAATAAAGCAAACAGTGTCGTTAATCATGTGAAAGAATTACTTATGTTTAGGATCATAGTCTTCTTGACTTCTTCCTTCTTTGTTGCAATGACTTGTTTGTGCTTATCATCTCCCTTTCACTATTTATATTTCTCACTTATTTTCCATTAATAGAAGTTAGGTTTTCTTTTAAAATGTTTTTTTTCTTAGGTAGTCCCTAATTTCTTTGGACTGATTATGATAATATCCCCCTGCCCCTCCAGAATCTCATTTGAATTGCAAAATCAGAGCATTGAAATGGACTTCATGTCTGGATTTGGTTGGTATCAGTGATTCAATGTACTTTCCCTGAATAACTAACTACTCTTGACCAAAGTGCTGGGTTTAGGGAGAAATGACTCTTGCTCTCCCAGTCTTTGAAATATTGTAGGAAAGAACTTCAAAATGCATTATTATGATATATGATAAAGTGTTGTGGTAGAGGTAAGCGCCAAGGGTTATGGGAGTTGAAGAGGGAGTGGGCTGCTTATTTTTGACCTGAATGTTGACATGTACTGACTTAGTCCTTTCAAAATTGTTCACAGATGACTGTAATGCTTGTTATTTAAAAAAATTCTTATTAATGACAATGAAAATTTTCAAAACTTTTCACTTAAATAATTTTTTGGAAAAGATAAGGAATTTATATTTTTATTTATTTAAAACTCTTGAGGAGATTTGGTGAGTTTAAATATTCCCAATATCTTTGTGATACAGAATGATATGGAGCCTAGCAAAGCTGTTCCACTGAATGCATCTAAGCAAGATGGACCCATGCCAAAACCGCACAGTGTTTCACTCAATGATACCGAAACAAGGAAACTAATGGAAGAATGTAAAAGACTTCAGGGAGAAGTGATGAAACTATCAGAAGAAAATCGACACCTGAGAGTAAGTGCTGTTGGTTGAAAATAAATTGATTGAAATGAAGGAATAGGAAATGTATTATTAGGGCATTTTAACAGTAAGTTTTTAAGTTTATCCGTGGTCAGTTCTGTCTCCTTTTCCCCAACTTGATTATGTCCTGGCCTTTGCTTCCAATCCCACCCTCTTTTAAGAGTCTTGCATGGCTGCTCACAGTCTGCATGTATCCTAGTTATTTGGGATCTGACTGTAGCCTTGCTAGCTTTCTCTTGTGTCTGCTGTCCTTTGCATTCTGTGATCCAGTCATACTGAACTGCCTAGGATTGTGCTGTCCCATACCGCAGCTACTAATCATTTGAAGCTGTTGAGCCCTTGAAATGCGGCTTGTCCAAATTGGAGTGTATTACTAGTGTAAAAATACACACTGATATTGAAGACTTAATACAGTAAAAGATACAATCTCTTTTACTGTATTGTTACATATTGAAGTAGTTTTGGGTATATTGGGTTGAATAAAATGTATTAAACTAATTTTACTTATTTTTACTTTTTAAATGTTCTGTTTTGAAGAATTTAAAATTGCCTATGTGACTCAACATTGTATTTGTGTTGGGTAGTGTTGAACTCCAGTGTCCTGAAGAAGCAACTCTGTTTTATCATCCCTCTTTGGTTTTAGTGTAAACTCTTCCCTGTGACTAGAAGGCCCTGAAATCCCATCCCTGCCTACACAGCACATACACACACACTCATCTTTTGGGACTCAATTCTTACCTTTTCAATACAACCTTTTCTGGGTCCTGCTCTCAAAAAGAAAAGTTGTTTTAGACTTGTTTCTTTTGTGTTTTTGTTATACTGATCGCATTTTCCTGCTCTTATTTTTCAGAGGTCTTTCTCCCTCTAGTAGGCAGTAATTTCCTTGTGGCCAAACACTTGCATGTAGTAGTCATGTATTTAATTAAATACATGGACAGACTGGTCAAAGAGGACTGATATGAATGTGATAATGTGTAGAGTTTATGAATAGCTTGGCTTTGACCAGTAATTATTTGTTTCAAGATCTAAATACCTTTAAATTGCTTGTTAGACTTTGTTTATCAAAGTAGATGATACAAAAATGTATGTAACTAGCATGGGTAAATTATGACGTTAGTCACATTTGATTTTTCCTTCTGGTAAGTGTATATAGAAACTACACTCTGAATCAAAGGCACTATATCTTAAGTTGATCTGTGAACTCCTCTTCACTGAAAATACGTTTTGAATTGAATTTTGGTAACTGTCTCTTCATATTTCATAGTACCTCCTGGAGGGACACTGCCTCGAGTACCTGTCTGGATTGTGGAAATAATATGCTTATTTTACACCCATACATCATGGATTTTTTTTTTTAGGATGCTGCTTTTTGTTATTTACACTTTATCTGCCATGACTTACTATCCTATTCTTTTAGGAAAGATGTGTTCCTTAGGATTTTCAATAGATTTATTACAAAAGCCACTGGTTGACTCTTGGCAAGGAGAGAAGTGGAAATGATAGGAATAACAACATAGGTGAGGCAGGGGTGAAAAGCAGGAAGAGTGAATGGCGAAGTATGTGAAACAAGACTGTATTCCTGGTCTCTATTTTTCATATGCTGATGCTGTGTGTGAGATTTTATTTGGAAGATGATTCTGCTGTTTAAAAAATAAAACAATAACCTTGAAGACCACTAGCTTACAGAATTAATTTCAGGCCCTTTAACATTTCATACGCAGGCTTGTTATATTAACTTTCTTGCTCATGTCTGATCATTACTCCTTTTAATTCCTAGTCCAGTGGTTCTTAATCCAGACTGTACCTCTGAGTCTCCTACTGAGCTTTTAAAAAGCTTTTAAAAAGATTGACTAAGGCTCTTTCAAGACCTAGTGAATCAGAATCACTATTTTTAAAGTTCTTCAGATGTTTGTGACATGTAGCTGGAACTAAAAATTATGACTCTCTTTACACAGGACTGATCACCTTGAGACCAAAAAAAAAAAATCCAGCTCTGTAAAGTCCAATAATATAAATAAAACTGTGCCACTGGGTACTCTCTTAGTGTTTATTTATAAGCACAGTACAAGAATTGTGTGAGAAAATAAAAACTAACTTGTACTGAGGAAGTAGAAGTCTGTCCTGTCATTCATCAAGTTGGATAATAGATAAAGCTAGCAGGTATTTGCATTTTTCCCAAGGTCACACTGCGCACAGTGTCATAACAACCTCCTGCCTTGAGTGACTGCTGCTTTCTTTTTTTTTTGAGTTGGAGTCTCACTCGGTCGCCCAGACTGGAGTGCAGTGGCCGCTCCCAGCCACCGCAGCCTCGCCTGCTGGGCTCTGGGGATCCTTCCGCCTCACCCTTCAGAGTAGCCGGAATTACAGGCATGGGCTGCCATGCCCGGCTGATTTTTTGATTTTATTGTAGAGATGAGGTCTCCCTGCCCAGGCAGGTCTCGAACCCATGGGCTCAGGCAATCCTCTCACCTCAGCCTCCCAAAGGCATGGGATTACAGGCTGAGCCTCCAAGCCCGGCAACTGCTGCTTTCTTACAAGAAACCTTGTCCCTTAAAGACAGTACTTTCTGAAACTATGTCAGTAAAACGAAGCAGCCCACTCTAGCCTGGAGGAGCTAAGTCACCTTGACACAGAGAAGCAGCCTCCATTTCCAGTCCAGGTGCAGAACTTCAGACAGGCGGTTCCTGCATACATTATTCCTCATCTCTCTTGATTTGTAGTTTCTTAAGAAACAGTATTCTTTGTCTACTTTGTAATCCAGACTTGGTGCTGACCCCTTTGTATACATCCCTCTCTGCTTTGCTTTGAGCATATCAAGACACTGGGTTATTTAAATTTCTCCCTAAACTTTTTTCTTTGTCTAAATTCTGTAATGGCCTATCTCTCTCTTTGGCGAGATACCTCTCTGTGTCTTTACTGTTCACCCCTCTGTGCCCCTGCTGTTCGAGTAACCCTAACTGGCAGATTTTAAGTTAGTTTCTGCTAGTCTTTGGCTGATTGAGCTAGAATGGGTATCTGATTTTAAATTTCCTGGGCCACCTTGGTAGTAAATATGAGCAGAATGCTTCTTTAATTGTATTAATTCTAGTGGCATCTAAACAAATGTAAATATAGCCATATCTCATTTTTGTTTTTTAGGAATATATTTCTCAGTTCCCGTTTTAAAACAGATCAGTATTATTGAGGTATAATTTACATCCCATGGAGAGACAACCTTTGTAATTGTACAATTCAGTGGTTTTTAGTAAATTTATAGAATTTCACAGCGATCTCTATAGTCCAGTTTTAGAATGTTTCTGTCTTCCCCAGAAAGTTTCCTTATTGTAGTTAGCAGTTAATTCCTATTCCCATTCCCAGCCATAGGCACCCAATAATAATATACTTTTCTGTCTCTGGATTTTTAGCTCCAGAAGTTTCATTAGTGTACTTACTTGTTTTTAACAGCTCTTTTTGTGTGTTTGTGTTTTTCTAGGATGAAGGCCTAAGGCTCAGAAAGGTAGCACATTCGGATAAACCTGGATCAACCTCAGCTGCATCCTTCAGAGATAATGTCACCAGTCCTCTTCCTTCACTTCTTGTTGTAATTGCAGCCATTTTCATTGGATTCTTTCTAGGGAAATTCATCTTGTAGAGTGAAGCATGCAGAGTGCTGTTTCTTTTTTTTTCTCTTGACCAGAAAAAGATTTGTTTACCTACCATTTCATTGGTAGTATGGCCCGCGGTGACCATTTTTTTGTGTGTACAGCGTCATAGGCTTTGCCTTTAATGATCTCTTACGGTTAGAAAACACAATAAAAACAAACTGTTCGGCTACTGGACAAATTGTATATTACCAGATCATCACTAGCAGATGTCAGTTGCACATTCAGTCCTTTATGAAATTCATAAATAAAAGAATTGTTCTTTCTTTGTGGTTTTAATAAGAGTTCAAGAATTGTTCAGAGTCTTGTAAATGTTATTTTAATAATCCCTTTAAATTTTATCTGTTGCTGTTACCTCTTGAAATATGATTTATTTAGATTGCTAATCCCACTCATTCAGGAAATGCCAAGAGGTATTCTGTGGGGGAAATGGTGCCTCTTACAGTGTAAGTTTTCTCCTTTACCTTGCTAATATCATGGCAGAATTTTTCTTATCCCTTGTGAGGCAGTTGTTGACTGAGTTTTTCATCCTTACAATCCTGTCCCATGGTATTTAACATAAAAAAAATAAAACTGTTAACAGATTCTTGCTCGATAGCTTGTTTGTGTCTGTCGTGTCATTAGAGGGGGGTATCAGGGAGTCCACTATATGCTGACATGAAATTTATGTTGCATAATTTTCTTATATTGAAACTCTTTCGGATATTACAGTATTTTAAAAGTCCTCATTTTATTAAGGAAAGGGATTTATTAAATTTTAAGCACTTTTTGATATTTTAGAAGATTATAATCAGTTTGTTTTCAAAATAAATAGAAAATAAGCAAATGCCATGAGAATAAAAGTGTCATGATTTCAATGAGTGTATGTGTATGGCATACAGCTGTATTGCATCGAATTTACCCCATTCTTACCAGGTTATTTTAGTATCAAGGAAGATTTACTATCCTTGGTTTTAAAGTACTTTGTAGCCTACTTAATACTTAATTTCGTAATAATTCTTATTACTTTATAGCATTTCATAATCATGGTTGAATGTAGTTTTTTTCCCCTGTCCAATTTGATACTGAAAATAAATTTCCATAGTGGGAATTTGGTATTACTGAGTAAGCCTTTGGAATTTTCTTTGTGAAAAATGACTTTATCTTTTGCAAATCTGTTAGCCATGTGAAACACGTTTTCAGTATAAATATGCATTGTAGGGTCTGATACTTTCCTGCACTTAGTCTTATGTCTTCATATATTTTATTCATATTAGGATAGAAAATTTTGGGACCCAGAGAAAGTAGATTCAGTTTTAAACTGTGCACAACATAATTCAAGTGAATTTTTGTTTTAAAAGGTAGGTGTTGGTTATTTTGTAAAAGATGCACTCTACCTGAAAGGGAAATTGGATTTTGGAACTTGATGTGGTGCAGTGAAGTATTTTTGGCCCAGGTCTGTGTATATACATTTTATAAAAGAGTGAAATGCTCTATAAAGTATTTTGGTTACTTTTTCATTTCAGTTGTGTTTTGAATTTGTCAGATCACATGTATTGTGTTATTGTGCTTTATAGTATCTTTTATAAAACCTCTTGCTTGTGTGCAAAAGTTAGTAAAAACAAACACAAGTAATACCTGTTCATTACTAGCATGCTACTGCAGGTAATATTTCCATTGCTGTATCCTTTACTGTTCTTGTAAGGTCCCTACACCCTTTTTTGGTAACTGGAAAAGCATGCTAAAAAAAAATCTTATGTTTTCATCCCATAAATGCAGAATCAGTAGTTCCTTGGCTTAAAGCTCTCTATTTAATCAACGTTGTTGGTGATAAGTATCAAGCTTGTTATCTCATAGCTGTCTTTTAAAAAAAATTTAAGTGCTTACAAAATTAGCAAAATCCCGTTTTATGGGAATGCTCCTTAAAATTCATTTTAACACCTTTGTTTTGTAGTTGAGGAATCTGAGGCCTTATGAGGGTTAAGAGAACTTTCCCCATGTCTCCCAGGTAGGTAGGGGCAGAGCTAGAACTAGAAATCTGGTCTCTTGACTCTGGCTTAGTGTCTTTTTTGGTAACTTTGTAGAAAAATTTTGTCTTAATTTGACAGATTACTGAAATAATGAAAACATGCTATTTAATAACTGTGGAATTTCTTATCATAAGACTGTATTAAAGGCCACTGTTGAATAGTCTTATGTTTAGTTAGTGTTTAGGGTAGAAATGCCACCCACATTGGTAATAGATAAACATTACAAAATACGATGTATTTTTAGGTAGACATTTTACAAAATGCGTTATGCAATGGTTGGTTTTGAGATAGATTGTAGTCTGGATAGCATCCTCAAAATAAAGTATATGTGAACTTATTAACTGTTTTACATGTCAGGAGATGCTCTGATTATATAGGAGACACTTCATTCTTTTTAATTATTGTATGAAAATGTAATCAGATTATTTTACTGCCAACAGTTTTACTTTGCAAGAGTCCACTGTATTAACTGACTGATAATACATAGATTAAATTTGTCTTCATTCTTTACATGTTTAGGAATTTTTGCTTCACCTACCTGCTTACTTGTGTCTGTAAGCATGGGGGAAATACGCTCTTGTTAATACTGAAATTACAATGAAGTTACCAAGGCCTTAAGTTCATATGTGACACTAAATGCACTACCTTCTTTTTTTTTTTAAATAAATGTACTTTAACCTTGCACATTCTTGTATTTACAAGAAACAAATTTAAGAATTGTGTTCTGAGCATGTGGTATGTTACTTTAAAAAACAAAACAAAACAAAAACCAGACATGACACTTGGAAGAAAGTATGTATGAAATTCAGAAATTCTGGTAAAAAAAACCTTTTTTTCTTAGTTTCTCTTTCAAGTACCTTAGCTCAAAAGTTCTCCTGAAGTTGATATTACTTGATACAGGGATTACTCTTGGACTGTAATCTTTTAAATTAATACTTTTCACTTTGGAAACAAGTTTTAACAAGCTAAAAAAGAAAACAGGTCTTATGGGGCGTGTCTCCATATTGTGATCTTCTGCCACTTAGACACATTCGAGTAATAGTTTTCTTAGAGCTTTGCACATTCATATTCATGTTTTTGGTGTGTATGTAGATAGATTCCCCCCCCCCCCCCCCCATGGCCTTTGCTAGAGTTAGGGAAAGATCGATGCTTTACCGTATGGAAAAACAACAAAATCAGATGGTAAATAAAGGATCTTTATTTTCTAGCTTTCAGGGGAAATTAAACTATTACATGAATAAATAAACTGTTTAAAAAATGTGATGAAGTGTCATTTTCCTTTCCACAGTGAAAAAAAAAATTATTTATACAGATTAGATGGTTTGTATATTTATGTTCTCTGTTAAGCATTGATAGCCAATCACTAGTTGAGACTTAAGTTTTGATGGTAGATAGTCTCTTGCTTAGTGACCTTGAGCCCAAGTATTTTTTAGTAGGAAATGATGCCAGATTTTTCAGTTCCACATCTGTAGCCCTCTTGAAAGAAACCATGCTTCTGGGGAGTTCTGTGCAGGAATTGTGGTGTCTTGGAAATGCTTAACCAGCCAAGGGTTGGTTGACAAAGAGGTATGAACACATATCCTTAAGGAAAAAAAATTCTATTCCCTTTCCTACATTTCTGGTTGCAGAGATAGTTTGTGCACTTTAGGCATTTTTGAAAATACAGTATAAAAAAATAATGGCAAATTCCGCCATTCAGCATCAATTGCTGGGAACGTTCCATTTGTTTTCTATAGTATGAACGCTCTTCAAGTATAATCGTACATTCCATACAATTTTGTATTCTATTTTATCTTCACAAGGTAATTTCCTTTTTTCTTTTGGAAACCAGGTACAAGTGATGGCAGAAGTATTTTGCTTTATTGCAGTCATTTTCTTAAAGTTACTGATACTTTGTAATGTAACTTGATTGACCTGATCTCCTGGTAATTTCTTTTCTGGTTTTGCGTGCCCTCCTACTAGTACATTTGTTTTAAAAAGCCTTATTGTTTTCCAGTTCTTTTGTGTAACACCCATCTTGAAAGAAGTTATAGGGGAGGTATTAAGATAAAACTTTTTAGCAGTGGTATTCAACTTTGGCAGTACATTTCATTTGATAAGCCTAAAAGCAGAAGCTACTAATGCCTGGACAGCATCCTCAGAGATACGGATCTAAGTGAGACCGTCTGGGTAAGACCTGGTATGCTGGGGTTTTTAAGTTCCAGTCATTTTATTCTGCAGCCAGAGATGCTAAATGCCAAAGGCAAATATAAAATAGATTCAATTAAGACTTTAGTCCTACAATACAGGGAAACTTCAGAATTTTTTTTCTTTTAAAATAAATTGTAGAGTCACTGTTAGATATTACTTAATGCAAAAGCTGTGTTTGTATAGTTAGAATTGCTAGAACACCAGTAAAAGTTTTTAAGTCGTAAATGTGAGCTGTCCGTGCAAAAATGAAAAGCAATTTGAGAAGGTTTAGGGGCTTCAGTTTTAATGACAATTTTGCTGACACCCAGAGTAACCACTCACCTAAGAAATTTATTTTGCCCATCATATATTTCTCAAAGCATAAGACGAGTTTCAAATTCTATATGCTTTTCAGGATCCTTATCACTGTATGCTAGGCCTTAGGCCTTAGTTTTATGTCAACTCATTTAGTCCTCAGAGACACGAAATTCTTCTCCCCATTGTATGGGATGGGGAAGGCAGGTTTAAAGGCTACGTTTGCTCAGGCTTACATAAGTAGCAAGTTAGATCTAGATGGTCTGTTTCTGGAGCCCAGGCTCTTCATTACAATCTGTCATGTGAGGGAGATTACTTATACCCTTGTCCAAGTCAAATATTGTCTCTTCACAAAAAAACAAGTATGCTTATATTGTAATGCCATTGGTTTCGCTTTAAAGGCAGTACTGATACTGTTTTGTGAAAAGTTGTTAAGACTTGGTCCTTGTGACTGAATTGCTACGATCTCATGATAAAATTTGAATGGACTAAAAAAAAGAAAAGACTTAAATTTTTGATAGCTTCTTTCCTCCTTTATTTTTCAAGGAAATGAGAAGAAATAAACTGCCCATTAACAATCTCAATCCGTGAACAAAACCAACGTGAACATTTCTAAAGTTTGTTAATGTATTTTAAGAAGGCTGCAGAATTTATGGAAATAGCTAATGTGACCGTGTTTTTTCTATATGGTCCTTTAAGATTTAATGATTTAAACCAAGTGTTTGATTTTTTTTGTAATTAACTTTGTGATCTAAATTCTTGCTGCTATTTATAGTTGTACAAAGAACAAAAGATGTTAAGTAATGTAGACACTTAAAACCCCTAAGGAAAATTAGTAACATTTTTTGAGAGGAGAGAAGTTATTGACCATGTAAGTGCTTAACTCCTTACCCACTAAAAAAAAATCAAAACCAAAACTGTGGAGGGATGAAATGGCAAGTAATTGAAATCTGTTGTACATTCCAGAGCAATAAGAATTCCTAATTTTAGTACCTTATTTCAAGAAGTGGAGGTTTGTTAGGAATTACATCTGTGTGGGACAAACTGGCTCTCTTTGTGTGCTGTTTTATTCCAAGTGTATCTTTAATTGTATATAATATGTAG